TGCTCTGCTGGAGACACCTGGGCTTCAGAAGTTGGCCCAGTTCTAAGTAAAAGCCAGCCAAGGCTGATTACAACCTGGGAGAGAGTTCCAGTTGGTGAGTCCTGATTTCATTTTCTTAAAAAAATAAAAACAAGGCCAGGTGTGGTAGCGCACACCTGTAATCCCAGCACTCAGGAGGCTGAGGCAGGAGGATCATTGTGAGTTTGAGACCAGCCTGGGCCACAAAGAGAGCTCAGGTCCAGCCTGAACTGCATAGCAAGACCCTGTCTCAAAACCGCAAATATAAATAAAAACAATGAAGCCTTCCTAATTTAATAGATTTCTTATTGAAGAGCCTTTGCAAAATTTTATTTGGTCTTTTTAATTGGAAAATTGTTATAGGCTATTAAATTGGTAATAATAAATAATATTTGTAAACAGTTTTAACAAGGCCTAGATAAATTAGAGGTAGACCTAAATCTGGATAAATATGGAGGTTGACCCACAAACCTACCAGGGAATAAAAAAAGAAAAGAAATAAAGTATTTCTCAAGGATTTAGTACAGTGGATCCTTGACTTACAAACTCCGTTCATTCATGAGGGCTGAAAGAACTCAATTATAACTCGAGCTGGTTGTAAATCAAGACTTTTCCCATAAGAAATAATGGAAATACCCATAATGCATTCTGAACTTCCCAAAGCACCCCTTAACTAACCTTTTCATAATAAAAAAAGGTATAATGTGGGCAATTGACCAGAAACACCAATAATTTTCCTAAATTACCAGAAATATATAAAATGTAACTAGTTTACCAGAAACAATTTCATACTGTACCCATTCAAGTTGAAACCTTTGGCTTACAGGAAGGGAGGACGGAATAGAAGGTGGTTGCTTTGGAAGGAGAGGCCCCTTCCCTAAGAACATCAGGACTCTGGCTCTGTGGGGTCCTTTCTCCCATTGGGAGAGGCTGTAGCCCGCTAGGACCTCCTTCTCATTCACTAGGTCTCTACATTTTCAGAACTAAAAGGGCATCTAAGGTTGTCTGTTTCTGACTTTAACACTGTGTGTTACTACTTTCTTTACCTTTCCTTCTTTAACTTCTTTTCTTGCTTTTTGGGGGCCATTTTAACAGCAGTAATCATAGTGATTATGTGAAGCACATAATCACATCCACAAATACGCACATCTGGGCTCAGATAGATGCTTACGTACACTTTTCTGTCATTGTGAGTCTTTGTTTACAACCACACAAGCAGCCAGCATTTGCGTCGTAACTCAAGACTTTGGTCATATGTTAAACCTAACATTCTGGTTGTAACCCAAACTGTTCATGTATGAGGCCAGTCATAACTCAAAGGTCCACTGTGTGTAATCAGTGTTCATAACACACACTTAGCACTCCAAATGTATAGATTAAAGCAACAGCAGGTTGCAAATGTCCAGAGAAAATGAAAATGTCATTGGTACTGAATACTTACAAGCTCTATTGTAGTTACTTTTCTTGTTTCTGAGACAAAATAGCCAACACCTAGAGTTAAAGGAGGAAAGGTTTATTATTTTGGCTGAGAGCTTGTAGAGGTTTCAGCCCATAGTCAACTGGTTCCAAAGCCGAGTGGCCCGGCAGAGGGACACTGCAGAGGAGAAACAGTCCATGACAAAACAGTGCAGGCAGAAGGCAACAAAGCAGCAGGCAGTGGTGGCAGCAGAAACAGCAGCACCAGAAAGCCTTCTGTCTGTGCTTTATATGTCATCCAGCACCCACACTGGGGGCAGGGGGCACCTTTAATCCCAGCATCACATCCTTAATCCCAGAGTCAAATCCTTAATTGCAGTATCACATACCCTAGATGGAGCCACCTCCAAAAAGCCCCACCTGTGACCGTATGAGGGTTGGGGGGACATCTAGATACAAGGTGCAACGTTCCCTAAGTAATACTATATAATAACTATATATATTATTAGAATTATCAGTCATCTAGAGAGGATTCAAATTATGTGAATAGTAGGATGTGTGTAGGTAACGTGGAAATACTGTAGCATTTTATATTATAAACTTGAGCATCCAGGGATTTTGGTATCTGTAGGAGTCCTGGAGCCAATTCCCTGTGGATACCGGGGACTAATTAGACAACGTATATCTAATTTCCCCATGACCATCATCAACCATTATTAATTTTTTATCATCATCTTCCTCTTACCCTTTTTTGCTTCCCCATTCTCTTCTCCTGTTTCATGACTTTCTTCCCTTTTTCTTCCACTTCTTCATCATTGTTCTTACAACAGCTCACATACTTTTAATACTTCCTGGGCAAAGCGTTGTTCTGCCGTACATGAATCACTGCTTAGTACTCATACTAATCGTATGAATTTGTTCATTTATTTCCATCTTGTGAACAAGAAAACAAGGCACACAGAAGTAACAGTCTGCCACCACTAACCCATTCTGCTGCATGGCTTAGAATTCAACAGTTATCTAGGAGAAAAATCCAACTTTTCTAAGTAGGCTGTGGTCTTGCGGTTGCATTTAAAGGAATGCTTTCTAACAGCTGCTGCTTTACCTCACTCAGATGGAATCTAAAACAATTGATCTCACAGAAGTTAAGGGTACCAGAGGCTGGGAAGAGCAGAGGAGAGGGAGAGGGAGAGGAGGGTGGATTAGGAAAGTACTAAATCATAGTTAAATTGCTGGTCCCATACTGCAGGGTAGGGTGATTAGAGGTAACCATAATGTACTATATATTTTTAAAAAGCTGGAAGAGATTTTTGAGTGTTTCTCTATAATGAAATTGTAAATATTTTAGGCACTAGGTGTATTTACCCTTATTTGAACATTACATTATGTATGTATTGAAATGTCATATTCTACCCCATAAATATATATCTTTCAGCGGCAAAGTGCCTGCCTGGCAAGCGCAAGGTCGTGAGTTTGGTTCCAGGTACCGGAGAAAAACCAAAAAATTAAAAAAATTTAAAAAAAAAAAAAAATAATAAATATATATCTTATGTATCAGTTTAAAATTTTACAGATTTAAAAAAATTAAAGACTTCTCTTCTTTAATCTTAATTAAATAGGTAGCCCAGAGTTTTTGCTCTCCTTGACTTTATACACTTGTTGACCATTTGTTCTTTTATTTCCATTTGTTGATTATTAACCAGATGACTTTATGCATATTTTCTCTTCAGGAACCAATGGAGGGGTTACAGTGGTGGGACTTGCTTCCAGTCTGCTCGGTGGAACCTTTGTGGGCATCACCTACTTCCTCACACAGTTGGTTTTTGTGAATGATTTAGACATATCTGCCCCTCAGTGGCCAATTATTGTATTTGGGGGTCTGGCTGGATTACTAGGATCAATTGTGGACTCATATTTAGGGGCGACAATGCAATTTTCTGGTAAGAACATCACCTTACTATTGCAACTTACTGCTTTTTTTTTTTTTTTTTTTAAGAAATGAGGAAGAAAAATGGAAAATTAAAAACTGAGGCAATGAAAACAAATCCAAAGACACAAGATGCTAAGGAGCCAGAAATGACAGATCAGTGTATCTTGTACAATTTTTGGTTTTTACTCTTTCTTGATAAATTAATTGAAAGAGAGTTAGATCTGCAGATCAGTGATTTGAGTGGAAGATACAACAGTACAAGGAGCAGATGCTTTTGATTATAGACCATCACCTAATCAGGAAAGCAAGTCATTTGAGGTCAGGTCATTTTAATGTACCTCACTGCATTTGTTTTCTACAAATCCATTTGATAGATAAATTACTGAACTAATTTGACTACATTAACATGATCTACTTTTCCACTGTGTTAATCATGCTTGCTTTCCTCACCTCTGAGTTTTTAGCCTCTCAAGGTAGAAGGGAGAGTCAGTTTTCCTAATATTTGCTGTGTCTTGCCTCTGAGGCTCTCGCAGCCTATCAGTATACTGACAGATTCCATTACACATACATTGGCTACCAACCATATTTCCTCCTTTGGTTGACATCAGGCTGGAAGGCTGGAGAAGGATCCTCTAAGCAGAGTAGTTCTAGTGCCCCACAGACTCCAAGATAATCTCCTTCCCCTTTCATTCCTTTTCCCACCAATCAAAATACTTGTTTGCTAATGTTTCATTAGTTTCATTAGGAAGCAGTCTGGTTTTAATTAACACTAAAGGTTCAGGGACTCAGCACATAAAGAGTACACTTTTCTTTTTTACTTATTTATTTTTGATAGCAGTTAGAAAAAGGAACAGGTTCTGCAGAGCAAGTTTAGGCCAAGTAAATGCAAGATAATAAATAGACTGCAGAATGAGAGCAGGCTATTCTGAGAGAACACAGTAGCCCACTTTTCTTTTTAAAGAACCTAAGTTTTATTCTAAATTGGGCTCTAAGAGAGGAATCATATTACGTATTAAGTGGATTGAATATATAGTATGAGCAGTAGGGCCAGCTTAATTCATTCTGTGCATCATTCAGTGCCTTCTGTGTCACATTGTTTATGCTGCTATAAAAAAGTACCTTAGGCTAGGTAGTTTATAAAGAGCAGAGGTTTATTCTTCCTAGCTCTGGCTACAAGGAGGCTCAAGATTAAGACACCAGCAGTTCAGGGCATGGCAGAGCCTTACTGTCTGCTTCCATGCACCTTGTTACTGCATCCTCACATAGTGGAAGGGAGCAGGAGGAAGGGATGAGGCAGCTCTTTGGAGATCTCTTTTATAAGGGCAGTAAACCTATTTTTGAGGTTGGACCCCTTATGATTTGACTACTTCCCAAAGGCCCCACTTCTTCATGCAAATTCAGGGGGACTTGGATCCCAGCGTGAATTGTGGAAGAACACAAACATTTAAACCATAGGAGCCATCTTTTGTGCCAACACCATGCTGGGACCTGTGTATGCAGTTTGGAAGCCATAGATATTAGTCCTACTGAGAGTGGTTTCATAGGTTGGTGTTGGAGAGGAATACCAGGAAGACAGCCCAGCCTTGCCAGTCTCATACTACCTCTGCTTTTCATGGTCTCCCATCTACTCCTAAAGCAATGAGAGGTGCTGACAGAACAGCACTGGGAGATGCTGAAATTTACTCAAACAGGCCTTTTTTAAGCAAGGGCTCCATATATCTCACCATGTAAATTACCTACCAGGGTCATTTCATAGGATACTGATAATCTTTCCAAGGTTGTCTCCTTTGGAGAAAGCAAGCTAATTAGTTCTTGTTTTAAATCAGTCACTTGGATCTTCTGTTTGTTTCTTTTCCACTCTAGGTTTGGATGAAAACACTGGCATGGTGGTCAACAACCCGACAAATACAGCAACGCACATAGCAGGAAAACCTATTCTTGATAACAATGCGGTGAATCTGTTTTCTTCTATCCTTACTGCCCTCCTTCTCCCAACAGTTGCTTGTGGTTTTTGGCCCACAGAGTGAGCTTTACTTAATTTCTACAGGTTGGAGCTGGGTGTGGTGGTGCACACCTGTAATCCCAGCACTTGGGAGGCTGAGGCAGGAGGATCGTTGTGAGTTTGAGACCAGCCTGGGCTCCAAAGTGAGCTCAGGGCCAGCCTGAACTGCATAGAGAGACCCTGTCTCAAAAAGACCAAAAAATAAATAAATAAATAAATTTTCACAGGTTGGAACTGGTTGAGTTCAGCTAAATTTGCTATTCTAAGTTTTATTGTAAGAATAATAGTTGTAATGCCAAAATGTAAATGCCAGCTCTTTTCATATTCCATTGTAATTGAATTAGGCATTTTTTCTTTCATCAACTCCCTTTAACAGCTGATACCTTTCTAGTAAGAGACAAGTGCATATTTTGATGCATATTTTTCTTTTACCGACTGTAGCTTCTTAAACAGTAGAGCTGTATTTTTCCTACATTCTGCTGTACATTGAACTGAAAGATCTACATAGTCAATGTAAGTTTAGTTTTTCTTTTGTAAACCAGTGTAAGGACTAAAAGTGATAACATGTTACAGTGTCATGTATAGCAGAGAAAGACCACTATGTCAGTTATTCCAGTGTTATATCTGTTTTCAGTGGTTTAAGACAAACTGGTGCATATAAAAGCTTAAGTCAGTGTAGTATCTTGGATTTCCATGACCTTGCCACTCATAATTTTGAACCATGTGGAAGTTAGTCCCTAGTGAACTGCATGGCTTGCTCCACATTTTTCTTCCTTCTTCCAGATTAGTGATTAAAAAAAGGTAAATGCTTCTTTAGATGACCATTAAAAGTCCGAAAAAATTATGTGGAGCTAATAAACCCAAACAGTGTATACCTTAATATGATATTTTGAATTTATGTTCAGTGCATTTTCTAGCTTTCTTTGAAATATACATGGAAATCTGTTGTAGAATTAGTATTCTGAACAACTACCCAAAGAGTCACTGGAAGCTTACTGTCATTAGTTTTTTTGAAGTTTTTATAAGCCCCTGGAAAGTGCTGTGGTTCCCTTTTATGTACCTTCTAAATCGTACTCACCTTTACATTCATTATACCAACTAAAGTGAATTCTGCTTTTCAATTTTGTTCTTCACTGTGACTTAACTGTATGCTATAGAAGTTTTGATATGGAACAGATTATTTGACTAAATGTATTTTTAAATGTTTCTTACGTGATTTCTGTACATTTCTTGCCTTGCCCCTTTTCATTCTTAAAGAAACTGGAAAAGGATTCCATAAATAAGCAACTACCAGTGTGGATATGGTTAAGTGATGATCTAGAACTGAATTGATTTGAGCAGGAAAACAAAACAGTTTACATCCTTAATTCTTTTTTTATTTGTTTTTATTTTAAAGAAAAAAAATCAACAATAAAAATGATGGTATTGTCTTGATTACTTTTCTCTTGCTGCTGACACAGAATACCCAATGCCCAAATTTAAGGAAAGGTTTATTTAGCTCACAGTTTGTGGAGGTTTCAATCCACACTCGGCTGGCTCCAAGGCAGAGTAGCACATGGCAGGGGACAACAGTTCATGGCGGCAGAAAACAGCAAAACAGCAAGATCGAAAAGGGAGGAGAGGCAGCAAGCAGCCTCTGTCCCTCCCTTACATTGTATACAAACTACCCACCCTTGGGCGAGTGTAGCACTCACACCCATAATCCCAACATTGGGCCATGGATCAATCATAAACGCTAGAAGCCTGCTCCATGACTGCATGTGTTTTTGGGGGTACATCCAGACACAAGCCATAACATTTCACCCCTGACTCCCCCAACGACTTATGTACATCCCTTTATGCAAAAGACATTCTAGTCCATCTCTAAGAGTTGCCAAAGACCTGACAGTTTCGTCATTGCTGAAAAGTCCAAGTCCCAAGTGTTCTCCAAGATGTAAGGCAAACTCTTAGGTGTGAGCCCTTGTACAAATGAAAACAAAGTTAAACATTTTCAACATTCAATGGCACAAGGTAAACATTACCATTCCAAAAGTTACAAGTGGGGATACAAAGCATTGGGACCAAAGCGAGTCCAAAATGCAGCAGGAAAAACATCTAAGTCCTGCAGTTCAATGTGGAATATCTGAAGCAATCTGTGATAAATTGTGGGTTCCAAAATGCTTTAGATGGCTCCACCCCTATGGCACTTCCGGTGGTTATAACTCCCACAGCTTCTCTCTTAGGCCCGCTTTGCTCCCTCCTTGCAGTTTTCCTTAGACAATCCACATTCCTGGCTTTTCCAAACTTCTGTAGTCTCTAGTATACCTTTTGCTTCACACTCACAGCTTCACACACTGCCCTCTCAGGGGCACACTGCCTGGCTTCAGGCCTTTTAAAATTGAGGTGGAAGCATTTTTAACCTCAGAACTCTTGCATTCTGCATGTGCCCAAAAGCAGTGCCACATAGATGATGCCAAGGTCTGCTGACAGCTGCAGCAGTAGCCAGGCTTTCCTGTCTCTTGGCTATAGGATCTAGTGCCTGGATCACTGGGCATTCTAAATCTGATTCTGAGGAACAAATTCTCTATGCCACCACAATTCTGGAACCTGGTGAGACTGCCGCCATTTTGGAACATGGCACTGTGTGGCTTTCCTCTCAAGGCAAGGTCTTTCACCTTTGTAGTTTTGAACCTGCGAAGGGTGGAGACCTGCTGCTTCTTCTGATGCCCTCAGGCCATCTTTTCTATTCTGTTCCTTTTCAGCAATGGAGATCTCCTCAGCTCTGTCTTTGCAGTCCACAGCTTTACTGGAGCTTTTTTCTTGGCCAGACTCACAACATTTTAAATCATCCTGCTGGGCTCTTTGCTCTTGATTCTCAAGGTAAATCTGGCTAAAAGCCTCCAACAATATCATGCTACTGCCTCAACATTCGACTGCCTTGACATTTCTTCTGCCAGATTAATTAGTCCCCCACCCTTAATCTCAATCTTAGGCAAAGTCTCTGGACACAAGCAAAATGCAGACAAACTCTGCCAAGCCATAACACACATCGTCTGGAGTCCAGCACCCAATGCAGGACTTTTTCCCAGCAGAAACCTCCCAAGCCCAGTCTATTGGCAAGATTTCTATCAGCCTTCTGGTCTGAGCTTTGATGAGAATCTCCCATACAGAACAGCTGAAGGTGTTCCAGCTCTACTGTTTCAGGCGACATGTCCAAACCTTTCCAAACTCTTCCCACAAGCCATTTCCGAAGGCTCTTGAACCACCTGGTCAGATATAGTCACAGCAATGACCCTACTTCTCTGGTACCAAATCTGTCTTGGTTACTTTTGTTGCTGAGGCAAAATACCCAATGCCCAAAATTAAGGAAGGAAAAAGTTTATTTAGCTCACAGTTCATGGAAATTTCAGTCCATACTCAGCTGGCTCCAAGGCAGAGTGGCACATGGCAGAGGTTCATGGTGGTAGAAAACAGCAAAAGCAGCAAGATCAAAAAGGAAGGAGAGGCAGCAAGCAGGCTCTTCCCCTCCCTTACATTGTATACAAACTACCCACCCCTGGGTGGGTGTAGCACTCACACACATAATCCTAACATTGGACCATGAATCAATCATAAACTCTAGAAGCCCACCCTATGACTGCGTGAGGCTTTTGGGGGGGACATCAGACACAAGCCCACAACCGGTATAAAATTTCAAAACAAGATTGTAGGAGGGTAACAATCTTTAGTACATTGCATATTGTTATCTTAGTAGTGGCTCATATTACAAGATATAGGCATGAAACACTGATCAAGCAACATAGGTATAAACCTTTTTATAGGTCTTTTCAATGACCTGATAGTAATTCGTAGTATAACTATCTTAACTATTATGTGTGTGTGTATATGTATATATATATATATATATATATATATATATATTTTTGCTTTTCCCTTCTTTTCTCCTTTCCTCCAGTTTCTCTTTCCTTCTGAGCATTTTCTTCCCATTTCATAATATCTATTGTACATTTTGGGATTTTTTTACTCATTCAGTTTCTTACCCTAGGGAGTCAGTGTGATCTGTACACATGCAAGACTGATTTATTTCACTTACAAATATGGATTCAAGTTGCATCCATTTCCCTATAAATGTGTTATGGTTTATGTCTGTGTGTCCCCTCCAAAGCCTCATGCGACCATGGGGCAGGCTATTAGAGTTGAATGATTGTGGGTGTGAGAGCTCCACCCGCCCTGGGGTGGATAGTTTGCATATGTAAGGGAAAGGAAAAGAGTGCTTGAGGACATTTCCTCCCCCATTCCGCCCTGGTGTGTGCTTGCGGCTTAGCTGTGTTCTGCCGCCCTGAGCTGCAGCTCTTTGCCATGTGCCACTCTGCCTTATAATCTGCCAAGTACAGACTGAAACTTCCATGTACTGTAAGCAAAATAAACCTTTCCTTCCTCAATTTTGGGCATCAGGTATTTTGTCCCAGCAGTGAGAGAAAAGTAACTGAGACAAAATGTTTCAAGTTTATCTTCCTTTATAGCTGAGTAGTACTCCATTGTATAAAAATACCACATCTTTTTAATATATTCCTCACTTGATGGGCATTTGTGTTGTTTCCAAGATTTGCTATTAGAAATTGTGCTGCTGGGCTGGGGATTTAGCTCAGTGGTGAAAGC